CAGAGCTTTTGCACCCCGTTTCCAGTCTTTGTGTTAAACAAAGCTAACCGACTTCTGGCTGTAGCATCAAAATCGAATGGACAGATATGAGCGGTGTCAATCTTTCCATTTAACCTCTGCGTGAGAACGCGAAGACGCACATCCCCCAAAATGCTGAACTATTCCCTGAACTGTGCTGAAAATGTGTGCAAATAAAGATGGGGAAGGCTACAAACTAACCTGATGCATCACCACTCAATAAAGAACCCATAATTTATTTAGTTAGATCAATGTTCTGTTTGCAGTTGGTACAATTCTTGTTTATTTTTACATATTACTACAAATTACACAGCAGACATCAGTTCATAAGACCTGGGTCACCTGAAACATCCTGTTAGATCAATGACAGCTTCTTAAGGCCCCCAAGCATACACACTCTCTCTCTCACTCTCACACACACACACACACACACACACACACACACACACACACACACACACACACCCCCATCACGGAGCTGGTAACATGGGCCAGTGCTTGTGGGGGAAACAAAGCTCTAGTGAAGCGAGAGCAGAGGGCTCAGTCACGAATGTAGTGTCACTTCATGCTGATCAGTGTGGACATTTAGAGGCACGCCGCTGCTGCACATACACGTATGTACTCTACAGAGCGAAGACGGACGGACAGACGGCCTAGTGAGATGAAAAAGGAACATCTTTTAACGAAAAGGTCACAGCTGTAACTGGAAACATAATAAGCTGTTCTCTGGGTTTAAGAGAATCCTGGAGCAGAATGTGACAAACTAAGAAACACGGTAGAATTAGTGGTGAAGTTGTAAGCCATTAAAAATTTGTTTGCTTTATGTCTAATAACCTTACAGAATGAATGTATTCACTAGACAATAACAAATGATACTCCCAGTAGTGCAAGCACCAGCCAAGTTAAAGGACCTAACCGATCAAAATCAGTGCTAAAAGAGAGGGTATGAGTAAAAGCAACTCCAAACAAGTGACAACCAAGAGGTCACGCCATGATCAAAGGATGAGACACTAAAACAGTGCCCAAAAGGTCCACCACATGCCCTTTAAAGGGGAAGAAACCTGCCAACATCCATCTGCGTGCATTTCACTATCTTTCCTTCATCTCTGCTCTCAGTGTCCTTCCCACTCTTTCATTTTGACTATGACGGGCTGCCCCCTTAAAATAAACAAATAAATAAACGTGCATTCCTCCCCCCTCCCCGAGGCTCTATGCAGGAAGGTAAACATGTCCACTATGGTGAGCTCAGACCACGCGGATGCTTCGCTCCAGGTAACAGTCGTCCTCCACGGCTCTGCGCCCACCAGCAACATCTCGGCGTTCACAAGCAGTGCAGAGTAGCCAATCTGAACAGATTTCCGCTTCAGTGCCAGACCATCCATCCTCAAGCAAGGACATCCATGGATTTGATGAGGATGTTGATTCAAATCAGGGTCTACAGTCTGACCTCTACCTACAGTACCTGGCTGATGGCTTATATTCTGTCTGAAAAGCATCACCTTTGATTTTTGAAGGGTTTACTTCTTTTGTAAAGAATGATCTGCTCTTGAATAGCATGGAAGCCATTGTGAAGGCTTAGGGGGCGTTTAGACTGTACAGCCCTGTCTTAAAATAATGGAAGAGGCTGCACTGGTGGGGTTGTGTGAATTCAGGTTTCGGTGAGATGATGAAATATGATCGAGGGAGCTTGGTTTAATTGTGATGATCACCAGGTACAGTAAACAGCAGAAATCTGTATTCATTTTGCCCAAGAACGTGCACTTTCAGAAATGTGAACAGAGCGCCTTACCAGATTCCATTGCATTGTGGCACCACTTGAGCCAGGATCAACTTTTTTGCTGGACAACCCTCTGCGTCAGCACCCATGCTGCGTCAACACAGTGGTCCCATTAAATTAATGATGCGGTTGTCTGTCCGTGATTCTTTTGCACAGCAGATCAAAAGTAAACTAAAAACTGCCAGATTTACTAAGTAAATGTGAGCTGCATTAAGTTTGCAGCCGGCAGTTCATTACGCAGTAAGGTTCTGGACTGAACCTAGTACTGCCCTCCAAGCACATTCAGCAAGTGAAGGAAATCAGAGGAAAAATCTGAATCAAATCAATATTTATAGTGTGACCACCCTTTTCCTTTAAAACAGCATTAATTCTTTTAGGTACACTTGCACAAAGTCTGGGATTCTGTATGCATGTTGTCAGGTGTATGATTAAACAATTATGCCAAAAGAAACAAACTGCAGCAGACGAAAGACACATCATGCGTACTTCTCTTCACAATCGCAAGATCTCCAGAAGTGCCATCAGCTCAGAGCTGCAGATAACAGTGGGACCCTGGTACACCCAGCTACTGTCCGGAGAAGTCTGAGCAGAAGTGGCCTTCATAGAAGACTTGCGGCCAAAAAGCCATGCCTCCGACATGGAAAACGTCAAGCGACACAACTATGCATAGAAACACGGAAACTGGGGTGCAGAAAAATGCCAGTAAGTGCTCTTAACTGATGAGTCAAAATGTAAAGTATCTGGCTGGTGGCTTGAACGTTTTGGGATGCATTTCTACAAAGTGGAGTTAGGGATTTGGTCCGAATTAATGGTCTCCTCAATGCTGAGAAGTACAGGCAGACACTTATCCATCATGCAGTACCATCGGGGAGGCATCAGATTGGCTCAAAATTTATTCCGCAGCATAACAACAGCCCCAAACGAGAGTCATTAAAGTCCAGCGAAAGTCATTAAAAACTATCTACTGAAGAAGAACAAGGAGTCCTGGAAGTGATGGTATGGGCCTCACAGAGCCTTCATCCCAACATAATCGACTCTGTCTGGGATTACATGGTGAGAGAGAAGCAACTGAGCCTGCCTAAATCCACTGAAGGTAGTTCTCAAAGATGTTTGGGCCAATCATCCTGCTGAGTTCCTTCAAAAACTATGTACAAGTGTACCTAGAAGAAATTTTTCCTGGTCACACCAAATATTGATTTCATTAGATTTTACTTAATTTATAAAATATAATATATTAACTTGTTTGTTTTTGAAAGCATTGTTACTTTACAGCATTTTTTCCACACCTGCCTACAGTATCTAATTATTAACAGACAAGAACACAATAAACACACTCATGAAAAGGAAAAAGGAAATGAAATGAAAAGGAAATCAAAGTGAAATGATAAGACAAATGAAAAACACACATACATAGATATCAGAGCAGGTGGGGGGTGGAGAGTGTTGATATGGATGTTGACTTGATGATTTGATAAATACAGCCTATGTGAGCAGAATGCATCAAATCTACAGCTTTAAAACAGGTGTAAAAACCGCAGTATATCCGGCCCTGTGTGTCTTGTATTTTCTTTCGTATACTCTGTTAAGATCAATGGCTTTTGACTATCCCATGTCAAAGATATTAATGGAACAACCATGTTCACAAACAATCTTTAATTTAACAAACTTGTGGTTGCAATGCTCCTTTAAAGGAAAAATCAGTCAGGACATACAGCAGTAGTGAATTAACTGCACTTCAACTGCTCTAGAACAGTCTGGAATGTGCACTGCACAGACAAATTTGACTCCAGACAGCTTTCAGACTGAAGGAACTAATTGCACGACAACTGTCAAACTGAAAATTCAGGTCATCGGTTTGGCGTACAGTAGACTTGTGTTCTTAGAGTCCAGCCTATACGCTGCATAATCCCGTTCCTCTGTAATGCGTAGGTGGACAAGGTGTGGGCTGATGTTCATTACTTTCCTCTCTGCGAGTCGATACTCTTCCTTAGTCTTCAAGCGCTCCCGTGGTGATACTATGTATACCCTAGCTGCCAAATACAGCATAATACTGTGAGCGTGTGTGTGTGTGTGTGTGTGTGTGTGCAGCAGAGAACATGATGTGATTAGGGTGACAGGAATGTACATCCATATCCAAGATTTCGTCTCTAATAAAATCACTAAATATTACAGAGTTCTTCTTTGACAACATTGTGTCAATGCTGCTACCACAACCACCCACTGGTTAAAGGTGTCAGTGTGTCTACCTCCTTTTTAAAAACCTTTGCATAAAAACCTCCAGCAAGTGACAGCATTTTCTTGTTTGAAATAATTTCACCAATATAGCTCCCCTCAGGGCTGAGTCTCAAAACGTCCCTGCCTCAAGACACACGGATAAAATTAATAAATAATTTCAAGAATAAATTCATATATAAAAATCCTGACCAGCAATGCAGTGAAGTAGGACATTGGCTTTGAGTAAGTCCACTCAAAGCCTGCAAAGAGAGACAAGTCTCAGTGCTCCAGGTCTGAGAGACATGGGGACAAAGGCTGATGTGAGGCTGATGATGGTTGCGGTTTCCCTTATGTTTACCATCATTTCCCTTCACAAACAAAGGCCAGGCTGGAAAAGGCCAGCATTGCAGGCAGACGAGGATAGGGGGAGCGACAGAGAAAAGAGAACTAGAGATAAGGGAGAGAGTGAGAGAGGGGTAATCACTGATATGAGAGAGAGAGAGAGAGAGAGAGAGAGAGAGAGAGAGAGAGAGAGAGAGAGAGAGAGAGAGAGAGAGAGAGAGTTCAGGCTAAGCTGCCTCCAGACACCACGCGGCTCAGAGCAGATCGAGAGTGACGGCTTGCTGATTAGTCAACTCGCAGCCCCCAAGACTGGAGTCTGCATACATGTACGTACACACACACACACACACACACACACACACACACACACACACACACACACACACACACACACACACACACACAGTTGTATTGCATTTCATTTAAATAAACCCCGCTGTTATCACTGCACACATTAAAACATATAGACACACAAACACGTAAACACTCATATCTAAAGGATGTTCATGTCATGACAGAATCTACCAGAATAAAAACGTCTGCAGTACTGTCTGCAGGTCTGCAATGCGCACGTATGTGCTCATAATGTGAAGAAGGTGTGTACCTTGATTGGGAGTCAGGATGTGGATGGGGTTTGGTGGTTAGTTACCTTGAGGAGATAGACGGGGATGTTGCTGAAGTCCACAGGGAGTTTGAGAAGGAAACGGGCTGAGAACTCTCCTGTCTGGAGAACAAGAAACAGAGGCAAGGACATACATGAAACAAGCGGGAACATTCAGTCTGCACATGGAATTATTATCAATATTGTTTAAAATTTCCAGTGTTGGAGCCAATACAATACCCAACTTTTTGTAGCGGCTACAAACAACACTTTTTTGAAGCATTAAATACTTAAAACCTCTTTTTTCATTCAACAAAATATGCCAAACTGCTCGATGCAAACTGTTGAAAAAGAACCGTGCCTTAACAAATTAAAGTCTAAAGTAAGAAAAGTTTTCTGATTTACAAAACGGCTACTTAAAAATATGACATATTTTGATATTCTACTTTGATAGTAGACTACTTAGACTTCCTCACTTGAGTTAACACTGTTCTGTCTCTACACCAACGACTGCGGAAGACAATAAAAGGACAGACACATTCTTAAATTTGAATATGACCGTCTGCCATGGTCTTATACAGTGGTGCGATGGGACTAAACCAGAAGATATGGTTACTGACTTCAGAAAAACATCTCAAACCAGTGTTGAAAAGGACAAGAAGTGGAAACTGCTGAGAGCTAGAAGTACTTTGGTAAATATATTGAAAAGAAATACAGCTTTGATGTGAACACAGAGGCAACATGCAAGAAAGGGCAACAAAGAATTTCTGCAGAGACTAAATGTTTTTAGTATTGGCAGAAATGAGGTCAGTCCTGACCTCATTGATTTATTGGTATGGGAATATAAATGCGCGAAAAAGGACATAAGCGAGCAACATAGTCAGGGTAGCGATGTCATCTCTCATAAATTTACATTTTATGCTGCCTTGCTACAAAATGAATTTCCCCTCAAGGGACAATAAGATCTGAACTGAACTGATCTATGGGAACTGTCTGGTCAGTACTAAAAAAGTACTGAGGTGTGATACCTAGCCCTAATCAGCATTCTTCTATCCTTCCACCTTGTACAAGATGGGGTCAGCATACAATTGCAATGTGTAACGTTCATGAGTTATTGTCATTACGTTCTTACGAATGTGTCTTTACAGATGCCCACATGATGACACAATGATGAAAATCATGTACCTTACGGCAGCATATCGTGACCTGGTTCTTTGTATAATCAAACAGGAAGTCTTCTTACCAGGGACAGAAAGAGTACTAGATTATTGTACTCTAGTAAAAGTACTGTTACATATATACATTCATCAGTCAAGTTTAGTGAAGCAAAAAAGTTGGTAAGTTAAAATGTCCTTTTTACTGTGTTACATTAAGGGTGAAGTAAACATGTTATAAGATACATGATTCTACTGTTAAATTAAAGAACACCATTAAATGTGTACACAAGTGGAACAACATCCCACCACCGAGCCCTTATGTCCAAACCAACAACAAATTCCATTTCAAGGCAGACAACACGGACAAGTATAAACAATATACAGCGACTGCAGCCACAAACACACACATTAAAAAGAGCTCCGCAGTTTTTACACACCGTAGATTGCAACACACACTACACTGCATTGTAGCGCTACACAATGGTTGTTGACGTTGTGATCTCGAGAGTGTGTTGTATCCATCAACAAGTGTACTCATCTGTCTGAATGGCATTCTGTGAGGTCCTCCTCTCTGCTCAATGCATACCCCATCACCTGTCAACCCAACCTGTCTGCCCCACTGTAGTTGCTGCTGACTGAGAGCTATGCAGTCACAGCTGCGACAGAGATTATTGTTAAAAACAGTAGAAAGGCCTCTCACACCTCACTGATCTGCTCCATGCTCACACTTTTTCAAGTGACTTTTGGTGTTTACTCTGTAACAGATGGGACTTGAAATGTAGCGAAGTACAATACTTGTAATAAAAAGCACTTAAGTAAAATTACCAAGTACTATGGATTATGCCTGCACACAAAATTGTGTGTGATATATACAAGAATTTGATTGTATAAATAGTATTTTTTGTATAATGGCATAGCAGTATAAGGGAAAGTCGAACGTTGCTCGTGTCATTCAATGTCATCTCAACCTCAAAAGTATTGATGTTCTCACCTGTAGACTGACCAAGCTATAGGGAAAACATATGAACAGCGTTTCCAAGGTAGAATGTTCCTATTGGTATCACATGACTTGATGATGTTTCTGGTGAGTTTTTTGTAGGACATCACAAACATTAACCAGTGCCCTACCCAGCTGTTCTTGCGTCCAGCGTAAATCTCCATGTTGCGGCCGTAGTTGGGATCCTCCAGCAGGCTATCATACTCAAAGAGCAGCCTGGAGCTTTCACGCAGACGCTGGCACTGGTAGTGGTGGTACTGCTGGATAAGTTCCTTCACCAGCTGGAGCAAACATTCTGGGTTCCCAGCATCCCACTGAACCAAGTGCTGAGGTAGAGACCAGGGAAGAGGCAAAAAGACAGACATGAGGTATTCCATTCATCTTTAAAAAAAGTAGGCACGTCAAATCAATACACTATTATTGTACACTGAACAACATAATAAATGCAACACTTTTGTGCATTTGTGAGCTGAACTCAAAGATCTAAGACTTCCTCTATGTACACAGAAGGCCTATTTCTCTCACATGTTGTTCACAAATCTGTGTTAGTGAGCACTTCTCCTTTGCCGAGATAATCCATCCACCTCACAGGTGTGGCATATCAAGATGCTGATAAGACATCATGGGGATTGCACAGGTGTGCCTCAGGCTGGCCACAATAAAAGGCCACTCGAGAATGTGCAGTTTCACTGTATTGGGGGGGGGGGGGGGGGGGGGGATCCAGAAACCAGTCAGTATCTGGTTTGACCACCATTTGCCTCACGCAGTGCAACACAGTGAGGTGGATGGATTATCTCGGCAAAGGAGAAGTGCTCACTAACACAGATTCTGACAGATTTGTGGCGCAAAAAGATATTTTATTATGGCTTTAGAAACAAACAGGGTGCTATACTGTCGAGATGTCAAATGTCATCTAATGGGGAAATCCTGGTAAGATACACTAATTAATACTAAAGACTACTAATTGTCTCGACCATGGACTCATTTGTTTCCAGTACTACAGAAAAGTACACAGCGCTGAAACATCCAGTCTGCTACATGTGGTTAGATGAACTGGGTGATCAAGTTGAACAACCCACATGACTCTGAAAGACATTTGAAACAAACATTAGGAACACTTGAGATTTAAATAAATAGGAGTAGTATAGTGGGTAGAACATGTGCTATTGTAGCAGTAGGGATCGTTGGGAAGACCATGGCAACAGTAATAGCCTAATCCCGACAAACAGCACTTCTCATTACCAGATCAGAGGGAAAGGGTTGTGCCATAGGATGTCCTGTTGCCACACAGTGATTTAGACAGATAAGGGCAAAGTCTTGAGCCTCGCCTCTTTTATCTGCAACTTTTCCGACCTCTGCTGCCACTCTGATCAATAGCTATAGATTTTTGATAAGAGTGCAGTTTCATGGTGATATATCACGCTCAGACAACTTATTTACATGTTTATTATGGTGCACTGATTTAGCAAAGCTCAAACGATTTGAGCTTATTATTTTGTGTATCTTGCATGTCTAAATGACCCGTGACGTGCACAGACTTTCCCTCCCTTCACTCTTTAATTCACTCATCACAAACACCACTGCCCCACCGACTGAGGCCAGAAACCAACATGCAGATTTACAGGACAAAACTACAGTCATATGCTACCACTTGTCACATACAAGTAAGCAGAACCCACCAAACGTGACCTTCTACCGGGGTAATTCTACCAAACAGATGTTTTTCCTCTCTTAAGGGGAACCTGTCCATCGATGCGTAAGAAATAAAATGCTTATAATTAACGCAAACAACACTGTGCAAAAATAAATTGCAGGAAACATGTCAGGCCTAATGAAGACAAATGGATGGCTGAGCTCCTGAGAATGATTGCTGTGAAAGCTTTACAATAGTATGGCACGCAAGTCAAGACCAAAGCAAAATGATAAAACAAACCAAACATAACAGGCTGTATGAGTTTACTGCAGTGGACTCTGAAATGACAGTGCTTGTTAATTTAAAGAGATTTATGCTGCTACAAGAAAATGGGACTTTGAAGAGCTGTCATATGTCAATTATACTTTTCACACAATCACCACCTTTTCAGATTTGATAGACATCATTTTAGGTTACAGATTAAATGTGCAACTGGGGAAACTTTTTCCCCCTGACAGATGTAATGATGTAATGTGAAGAGGATGGAAATGATGACGGTAATATTTGAGGTAAAAAGGATAGTAGTCATTTTGGGGTATGGTGTAGGTTTCTAAGCAGCCACTGAGGCCTGAAAAGTGAAAGTGATTCCTTTCCCAACTCATTCTGAAAGTGAAACACTGCTGGCACAGTCAAAATGTGAGTAGACGAAAAATCAGCCGTGTAACCTGATGACATAACTGCAATGCCAACATAAAAGTGTAACTATGGTTCATCATTCCTCCCCGCCTTGCTGTAGCACTAAAACCAATTAAATACAGGTCGACCTAAATGATGAGTGAATCGGAATAGAGCCATTTTGGTGTGTACTGTGTGGGAGGCAGAATTAATAGGTGCTGGAAATACTGTAACCATGAATACCCCTTACATTAAGGTGTCAAAAGCAGGATGTCTTTGACTTGCATTCGCTTGTCTTCCCGAATGTTTATCTTTTTATCCGTCTGTATGCCTTTCTGTCTGGCAGCCTATTTCAGCCCAATGGAGAAAGCTTCCATTGTTTTAGAGTGACCCACACCCCCCTCTGCAATGGTAGAAGGGTGGCAAGGCCAGGCTAAACAGAGACAGTGACCTCATCGTCCTGATCCACCAGTGGTTACCAGCAATGCCGGGATTCCCGAAACAAGGGGGCGATGCAAACAAGGATGGGCATTGTCCTAAAGAGGCAGTCAGCGCTCTGGGGCAGGAGCGAGCTGAAACTGAGGAGGGACTGAGGAAGTGCTGTGTCAGGATTGTGACACAGAATATCAGTGTTTCTCTGCTGAGGAGAGGCAGGGAAGAGAGCTCAGGCAAGTAGGCCAAGGCCAATGAAAACAGGCTTGAGACTCAGTTTTGGTTTCATTGGTAGGTAATAATGACACGCTCAACCAAAACTGAACCTTTGTAAATAATGAAGTGAAGTGAGAGGAGATGCTGTACAACTTTATTACTTTTTAAATGTTGCAGTTGTGAAGCACATACCTGAGAGTGAGATATTTGTTTTCACTAATACAACTGTTGTTCAAAAAAAGGTGCAGCAACAAGAAAGGCTCCCATATGTTAGGACAGGAGTGCAGGAGAAACACTCCCTCAGTAATTACAGTTAAGGTTTCCTCATGCTCAGTAATTAACCTCAACTCGTCTTGCAGAGCTACCCGCTGGCCAATGAAAGAGGAGCTGAGCTTGTCCTGGGCGGCTCCCAGGTGAAACAGGGTGTTGCTGGAAGAGAGCTAGGTTGACTTCTGCCAGTATAAATAATGGCTATTATATACATATTAAGAATACTAAGAGTCTACAGTCATGTTAACTGCTCTGTGAAACTGTACTCTAAATGCTCATATCGGATTGGTAGCATTTTCACAATCACAATGTTACTGACCATTTTCACAATCTTAGTTTAGTGTGTTAGCATGCTAACATTTGCTAAATCGCACTAAACACAAAGTACAGTTGAGGTCCTTAGGAATGTCAATAGTTGGTCATAATCCAAAGTATTGGACAACTTGAACTTTTTATCTAACAATGTCAGGGAGTACCAGGAGAAATCCCGAAGGACCGGTTGCTCTGTGAGCCGTTTGAGTAGCCCATTCTACCACTGAGATGCATCATCGGCCCACTTTGATTATGCAGCTGTCCACCACCTCCTCCTCAAGATCCTCAATACCAGTACAACCACTAGTCCAGGTTTTGCAGCCAGAGGCGTGAGACAGAAGACAATAGGGATAAGCAAGGTTTGGGTTTAGCTGACTATTTAGTAGGGCTGGACGACATGACATAAAATCATAATTACAATCAACTGAACATTTTACCTCTATTACGATTATTTTGTTTTGTTGTTAATTGCTCTCATAGTTCACTGACAAGGTGTGTACTCTAAATATGCTCAACTGGAACATTTGGGATGTTTTTTTTTCAATTCACAAATGTCAAAAAGCGATTATCTAAATGTTAGTGATAATGTAATGTTGACAGAAAGCAAGAGGTTAAAAAGTGCAGTGCCAGACTATATGTGGCGTGCACATAAACATGTTCCCCCTGTTTTCCGCGCATCGCCGCTGCTGAATGAATGACCGCTGCTATTACAATTTCACACGATCATTACTATCAATGCGCAACACTCAATGCTTGACTAGCTTCCTCTCCTCATTCTTCAAAGGAGTCTACGTGACAGGCGCTGTTATAACAGCAGCGAAGTTAGGTCTTTTAAGGGCAGTGCAATGTATGTGTGTAGTGAGTGTGTGGGTGAGCGAATGAGAGAGAGCGGGCAGCAGCAACTAAGGGTGAAAACGAGTTTAGCAGAGGAAAACATTAGCAGGAAGTTGTCAGTCTGGCAGTAAATGTACAGTGTAGGTCACAGTGTGTCTGTTAATAAAAGTCTGTCTGTTGATGAAAAGTGAAGGTACTTGGAGCTAGCAAACATCTCCCTGTTTTTCTGGTCTGAAAGCTGAGCAGGACTGGACTGGGTGGAGTCACGTGACTGCACACGCAATGAACACACAGTGGGGAAAATATTAAGAGGACCAAAAAAAGAGAAATTACCAACAAAATTATGTTGGTTAAAGGTTCTGAATATCAGTTCTAATTAATCGTCTAGCCCTACTATTTAGCTGTATCAGGTGCCTTTTGTTAATGTGCTCATCATTCTCACTTTTTGTGAACGGACCAATCACTGCCTGGACGGGGAAAAAGGTTGAATGCCACAGTAAACTTGAAATGTTGAACTCATTGTTACGCACGAATGGTTATGATGATGATTGACAAGATGGTTCTTAGCATTAACAAATTTGAGACTAACCATCCAGGTACAACAAAACATTTTGCTGGGAAAAAATCCTACAGGACACACTGCATCCTCTGTACCAAATTCCATGGCAATCCATCCATTGGTTGTCAAGACATTTCACTAAAAACAAAAAAAAAGAATTTACCTCTTGGTAGTGCTACAGGTAAAGTCAGAATCAATAGGATTTAACCTCTGGGACCAATGAATAATTAAAATTTCATGGAAATCCATCCAATAGTTGTAGTAGTAGTCGACAGACAGACCCAGGTCAACAATGACATCTCTACAGCCATGGCGCTATCATGGCTAAAAACTCAAAACTCAAAAACAATAACAAACAACAGGACACTGTACTGGTTTGTCTTATACTGTACTGA